CAGCCAACAAAATTCCAAATTCAGAGAGAACTGTATTAAAAATATAATTGGATGCATTGATCTAAGACAATTCCAAAAGACTAAAGATGGAAAATGCTATCCACATCCAAAGAAAGAACTATGGAGTCTGAATGCAGATTGAAGCTTACTATTTTCTCTCTCTCTCTCTCTCTTTCTTTTTTCTTCCTTGTGGTTTTTCCCTTTGGTTTTGATTCTTCTTTACAACATGACTAGTAAGGAAATATGTTTAATATGATTATACATGTATAGCCTATATCAGATTACATGCCTTCTTGGGGAGGAGGGCAGGGAGGGAGGGGGGAAATTTAGAACTCAAAATCTTATAAAAGTGAATGTTGATGGGGCAGCTAGGTGGTGCAGTGGATAGACCGTCAGCCCTGGAGTCAGGAGGACCTGAATTCAAATCCAACCTCAGGCACATAACACTTACTAGCTGTGTGACTCTGGGCAAGTCACTTGACTCCAATTGCCTCACCAAAATGAAAAACAAAAAGTGAATGTTGAAAACTAAAAATGAATTAATTTCAAAAAACAAAACCAAAATAAAATATAATTGTAAAATGTTTAACAAAATAAAACAAAAATACAACAGAATTAGATAATGTTAATTTGTGGTTTTCTAAGTCAGTATGTGCTGTAGGAATCTATCTGAGTTTGACACCATTGGTCTAGGCTATGACGTACAGCTGGATGGCCTATCTATTTAGTGCATGAACATATGTGCATATATGTACACACACATGGATTTTACATGTGTACACACAGGTATATGTGTATACATATATATATGGAGGTAGACGGTGGGCCTAAGCCAGAATTGAATAAAGAGAACGGCACATTACATTTGGAAAATTGTGCAGCTCTTTCAACAGTTCTAAATCGCTCCCCTCCACAAAGACCCTTAAGACCCAACAGTCACATTTGCTGGAGACTAACAGGGCCATTGATAGACACATGGTAGGTGCAAGGAGGCGCTAGCAAAGGTTATGTTCATTATCAGACCTCAAACTATGTTCTAGTGCAGAAGTCTCAAAACTATTTGATACTGGTTAAGCAACAGAAAAGCAGACAAATGGTACAGACCAAATAACCAAAAAACAGAGGCAATTGAAAATAGTGGCTCAGGGTTTGATAAATAAATAATTGGGCACAGAATGTCCTTTTTGACAAGAACTTCTGGGAAAACTATAAAGTAGTTTGGCAAAAGTTAAGCTTAGACCAAGATTTGATACCATGTAGCACAATAATCCCCAAATAGATCTGAGACTTGAACATAAAAGACCACACCATTAAAAAAAAAAATGAAAGAACAAGGTTAGGTACCTTTTACAACTATGCCTGAGGGAAAATTCTTAACTAAATAAGCAACAGAGATCATAAAAGATAAGATGGAAAATGTTTACTATGTAAATTAAAAAGCTTTTGGCCAATAAGATCAATGAAGACAAAATTAGACAAACAGTGAAGAGAAAAATATTTGCAATATATATTACCAGAATATGATAACCAAAGCATGTAAAGAATTGGCACAAATACAAAATATAAGCCATCAAGTGCAATCCTCCTCAAGATATGTGGTCAGAGGATATGAACTATTTTCAAAAGAATTGCAAACCATAAATGATCACAAGAAAAACACTCCAAATGACTAATAGAGAAATACAAGTTAAAACAGCTCTGAGGTTTCATCTCACACTCTCCAAATTGGCAGATAACAAAAGATGGGTGGAAAAGGGAACTGGAAAGTGGGTATACAGATGCCCTGTTGGTGGAACTGTAAAGTGATCCAATTGGTTTGTATTTCAGTTTCAATGAAACAAAAAGAGGGAGGCGGGGACTAAATTGCCCATACCCTTTGACCCAGTGATCCAACTCTTGGGCACATATCCCCAAGGAAGTCAAAGACAGAACCCACAGGCTGATGTATAGCAAAATATTCACAGAAGCATTCTTTGCCGCAAAGAAACAAAGTAGGTGCCCATCAACTGAAAGATGGCTGAAAAAACTAAGGTAAAAATGTAATGAAATATTATTTTGCAGTAAGATGATCAACAGTTGAGAGAAATGTGGAGTTTTGTGTAAATGGATACAGAGCCAAGAGATAAATAATAATTATAAAGACTGACAATAAACACTGTAACAATGTTAACAAAAAGATTGCAAAGAAGTTGAATTCTGGGTAATAGAAAAACCAGTGAAAGTCCTAGAGATCAGATAAAGTACACCTCCTCTCTTAGTACAGAAAGGTGGGGGACAACTATGACAGATTACTGTATGCATTATCAGATATATCATTTTGGCTTGTTTTTCTTTGACACAAGGGAGGATTTGGGGGGGTGTGACTGTGATCAAAAAGATGAGCACCAATGGGACATACAAAAATGGATGTCTTTAAAGACATGTGAATTTAGAAAAGGAGGTGAGCTGGTCACATAGGGAGAACAAAAGATAAAAAAGACTACTGGTGTGCACAAAATGTAGATGTTTAAAGGTACATTAGAGGCAGCTAGATGGCACAGTGGATAGCGTACCAGGCCTAGAGTCAGGAAGACTCATCTTCCCGAGTTCAAATCTGGCCTCAGACACTTACTTGCTGTGTGACTCTGGGAAAGTCACTTATCCCTGCTTGCCTCAGTTTCCTCATTTGTAAAATGAGCTGGAGAAAAAAATGGCAAACCCCTCTGGTATCTTTGCCAAGAAAACCCCAAATGGAGTCATGAAAAATTGAACACTATTGAAAAAATGACTGAATGGCAAAACAGAAGGTGGGTATTGGGATAACATGGACAAGAAGCTCACAAGTTGAGATGGGTTCTGATCTGTATCTGTGGAGATTACCTAAATTGGTGGGATCACAGATCCATTGACATTTTGAAGAGGTGAGATATAATCTTTGCCTACACAGAAGAAGTACCCAAAGTGAGGAAGGTAATAGTTCTGCTGTATATAGTTGGCCCTAGTCAGACCACATCTTAACATGTTCAGGTTTACAAGCCACATTTTAAGGACATTGACAAATTCCCATTTGTTGAGGGTCAGGGTGGGTGGAAATGAGGATGTTGAGACTACAGACCTTGCCAAATCCCAAGGTGGAATGGATTGTTTCTAGAGTGAAACCAAGCCTTCAGGTATACAAGTATATGCTAGAATGAGCCCTTGTTGTTATAGAGAGGATTTCTGTTTCAGTTATAGTAGGTCTGCTAAATGACTTCTGAGGTCCATTCCAACTCTTATGATTCCATGGGTCCTTCCCACACACCCCCTTACACATATCTACCCCTCCACCTGCAGACTGTACTCGTTCTTCCCAATTCAATGCTTTTTTGATACTTTGAAAATGAGTTCAATAACATTAATAGTGGTCATTTACGTAATGCTTCATATGGCTAATATACATTATTATCTAAATCGTTATCCAATTTTATCTAAATCTAAGATGTTATCTAAGTTGGTCCTCACAAAAACCCTGGGACATAGGTGCTATTATTATCCCCATTCTACAGAAGAGGAAACTGAGGCAGACAGCAGTTAAGTGACTTGTTCATGGGTCACACAGCTAGTGTCTGAGACAGGATTTGAACTCATCTTCCTAACTCTATCCTACACTTTATTCATTGGGCCAGCTAGTTGTCCTAATACAGGTGCCCCTTCCCACTGATGCAAATGAAAACTCTTTCAAACCTTGGCAGTCTCACATGTTACTGTGACCAAAAAAGACTCATCTCCTGATGGCCAATGTTCTGGGGATGAGATTCTCTCTCCCTAGACAGGTTGGTTCTTGGAAGACAGAGAGACAGCAGGGCAGATATAAAAATACATGAATTGGGAGATAGGTATATGTCCTTTCTCTACCACTAACTCCCTGTGACCTTAGACAAAGCACTTTTCTTCCTCTGCACTTCCATTTCTTCAACTGCAAAATGAAAGAGTTGGCTATATAGATCCTTTTAGTTCTGACATGGTATGATTCTGCAGAGTCGCATTGCCATGCTCAAAGCCATGCCAGCTCAGTGGGACTTGGAGGAATTTGTGCTCCATTGGCAGAGCCTTTGAGACGTCAGGGTCTTATCCATGTCATGCTGAGGCATCTGAGGACAACAGTAATAGAGAATCCTTATGTCACTTGAATAAAAAAGCAGCTAAGTGGCAGAATGAATAGAGGGCTAGTCTCAGAGTCAATAAGACCGGAATTTGAACACTTACTAGCTGTGTGATCCTGAGCAACTTGCTTAACTTATCTGGTTTTGGTTTCCTCATCTATAAAATGGGGGTAATAATAGCACCTCCCTCACAGGACTGTTGTGAGGATTAATGAGATAACATATATAAAGCAATTCGCAAACCTTAAAATGTTATCTAAATGCTCACTTATTATGAAAGGGCGTAAGACTCGTTATTTTTTTTAAGTTTAGGGCAGTAAAGTCCACACTTATTAAACTACACCCAGTATTCAAATTCCGGAAGATGGCCCTGTCTCTAAGCTCCAACCAAGCTGTTATACATGTGGTCCTAATTCCAAATAGTTTGGGCCAGGGGGCAGCGAAGGCGACGGGGAGAGCCCACACCCAGTCTTCTCCCCATGCCCCCCACCAAAAAAAACAGAACCAGCCAGGGCCCCAAATAATAATCAACAGGTTTATTGTCCTAGAACTGAAATTGTCTACCGGTTCTTAGAGCTAAACTTCCAAAGCTACAGTCGGCAACTTCTCATCAGAGCCCAGGGAGAGGGAAGGAGAAGGTTGTTGGGGAAGGGAGCAGATGTAAAAGAAAGAAAGAAAGAACGAGAGGGAGAGATTGAGAGGGAGAGAGAGGGAGAGAGGGAGAGAGGGAGAGAGAGAGAGAGAGAGAGAGAGAGAGAGAGAGAGAGAGAGAGAGAGAGAGAGAGAGAGAGAGAGAGAGAGATTGAGATTATTGGGAAAGGGTAGGGGACTTTTTTTTCCCTCTTTTTGTTCTCTCTGTAGGTTACAAATTGAATCTGGTGATAACAGCAAGAGGAATGGGTTTATTTCTTGAGAGTAGGTGGGGAGACACCAGGGAAGAGAAAAAAAACACAAGAGAGACACAAGGAAAAAAACCAAAGCCCAGATACAAAAAAGAAAGCCATTAAACCCCAAATAAGACAGCTACATTTCCAGCAAATCAGAAAATCCAGGTGCAGCAGTAGGGAGTGGAGGACAGAATGGAGATAGGGGAAGTAAGGGTCAGGAAAGCCAAGAGGATGGAGAAGCAGAAGTGGGTAGATAGGGGTAGGGGGGAGAGGGGAAAAGAGGGGCATGGAGGATTTGGGAATCTTTTAAAATTTTTTTTGTAATTTTTTTTTATTAAAAATGCTTCCTAAAAAATGCCACTTTACTTTTACTTTGCCTTGGTGATAAATATTCCTGTAGGGAAGGCCTGAAGCACCAGGGGATGGGGATTAGAAGGAGTGAAGGGGAGGGATCTAATGCCCAGCTTCCCCACCTCATCTCACTAGGGCAACTTCTTCCCAGGTATTGGACCCTGAGAGGGAGACTTATGATGCTAAAGGCAGGAATAGACAGATAGCAGTATGAAGAGCAATCTCTCACCCCTCACTGGAGATGGTCTTTTAAATAGTCACACCCTCCCCAGGCCACCTTCTCCGTGAACCTACTAAAAGACTACCCTAACCCCTTGCTAGACCCTCAGTGCCCCAAGGTAATAACCCTAGAAACAATGACTGGGACAACTATCACTCCCAGAATGCTCTAGGCTACCAGAGGCAGGAATGGGGCCAATCACCAGGCATTTATTCCCCTACCTAACCCCACTTCAGTTGTCAGACTTTCCCTGAATCAGCAAATCATCCCAGGGCATGGGGATGATAGATCAGGGGTGGAGGGCAGAGATTATTCCCTCAAGAGACAGCCCCTTTTCTCATGTAATGCTGCACCCTCCTCCCAGACTTTGGGCAGCCCCCTTCCGATAGCCCACCTTCCATCCTTTCCTTTCCAAAACCCACATCCTAACTCACCAGTATTTCCAGGGATGGGGGTGGAGGTGGGGAAAGGCTGAGGGAAAGGTCAGGAAGTTAGCCAGTCCAGGAAAGCCCCTGTCAACTCCCCACTGAAATAACAGCCCTCAGAAGCTAGCACCCTGCCCAAAACTGGGTCCTCCCAAAAATCAGAGCTGGGGGTAATAAGGACAGTGGGGAAGGGGTTGAGACTCAGGAGAGGGGAGAGGCATTCCACTGCCAAGTAAAAGAGGGTCAGAGAGAGTGGTGAGAGACAGTGGTGCCAGGCCCTGATCCTTTCCTTCCTTACCCAGTTTGGGCTGGGCCCGGGAGAGTGGGGAGGGGGTGCTCAAAGAGAGAGAAAGAGAGAGCTGCCGATGTCAGGGTATCAGGGACAGGGGGCAGGAGAAGGGGGGTTCCCAGTTTGCAGGCAATGACCAGTTTCCCCAATAGCACCCAGACAGCAGCAGGAACAGGGTGGGGGCTCCTCTGGAAACATTGTCGGCTACAGGCTGCAGGAGACAAGCAGGAGAACAGAGTTACTTTGGGTCCATTCTCCTTCCAGCTCACTAGAGACTTCTTCCCTCATACTCTATACAAGCTGCTTCCCGAACAGGATACGTCCCCCTCCTCACCCCCACATTCATGCAGACATCAGGAAACAGGCCACAGGAAATTCCTTCCTGGTCTAAAGGTAGAGAAGATCCCCCCTCTCCTCCAAATCCTTACATCCTAATGTATACTACCCCAGGCCTTGGAAAGTCTTTCCTGTAGACCATCCTTCATCCTTTCCTCTCTCCCATGCCAGGACAGTACCTGCTGAATACTAACTGTATGACAAATATTCGTTGATTAATTCCAAAACCCTCATCCTAATTAACACGGTGCTAAGTCCCACCTCTTAAATAAAATAGTCCCTGTTCTCAGTGTGAAGGGTCAGTGTGCAAATGATTCTCTGGGAAGGATCCTAAGAGGGCTCTTACTCAGGGGTGGGTCTTTTCTTATTCCGAACTCATTTACCTCTCCTTGTGATCTCTGACACCCTGGGTAGGGCCTTCCTCCTTGACAGCCTCTTCTTCTTCTTCGTCTTCTTCTTCTTCTTCCTCCTCCTCTTCCTCTTCAACCAAACCCCGGCCGGGGCCTGGCTCCAAGGGGGCACTGTTCTTCTCCCCCTCGGTGGGGAGGGCTCTTTCTCCCTCTAGGGCCAGCTCTTCTTTCTCATCCCCCTCCCCCTCAGGGTCCTGGGTTTCCTTAAGTCGTTTGGGGGAATCCTAAATTCAGTTGGGGAGGGCAGGGGGGAGAGTTGGAAAGGGAGGAAGTGACACACAGATGCACAGATCAGGTTAAAGGGATCTCTACATGTGTCTCCTTCTCCCTCAGTTTGTCCCCAGACTGACCTCCCTTATGACCACTCCCATCTCACCTCTTGTACTTAGTTATAATAATTCTTAGTAATAATATACTTCTACAAAGCTTTGTATCTTACAGAGCACTTGTAGATACATTATTTCATTTAACCTTCACAGCAGCACCGTGAAGTAAATTATTATCATTTTATAGATGAAGACACTGAGGCTCAGAGATGTTGACTTTGCCCAAGATCATACAGCTAGAAGTTTGTAGAGCTCGGATCCAAGTCTCCAGACTCCAAGCTCAGGGCTTCCTGAGCTTCCACACAGGTTCCTTCCCTTCAACTCCCTTCTCCAACTTCTTCTGCCTCTCAATTCAGGTCTATTACCCAACTTCCCAGAATCTCTGAGGTGGAAGAACCCCGAGAGACAGTATGGTGTAATTGTAACTTAACCTCTCTCAGCCTCAGTTTCCTCATCTGCAGAATGGAGACAAAAACTGTATTTACCGGGGCAGTGAGGTGGCATAGCAGATAGAGCACTGGCCCTGAAGTCAGGAGGACCCGAGTTCAAATCCAGCCTCAAACCAAACACTTGACACTTAGTAGCTGTGTGACCCTGGGCAAGTCACTTAACCCCAATTGCCAAAAAACAAAAAAAAATTTTTTTAATTGCATCTACCTCACAAGGCTGTTCTGAAGATCAAATTTTATACACACACATATATTTTATACATATACACACATATACATGTATACATATATATATGCACACATTTATCTGAAGTTTATATCAAATCTGAAAAACTCAAAGTGCTACATCAGTGCTAGCTATAACATAACATACATCATAATACAACACAAAATAATTTAACCTATGCCTGAGCATGAATCTCCTCTATAGTCCTCGATAAGTAAGTGGAGAGCAAATTTTCATCTGAAAAACCCCCATGACAGGAAACCCACTAGCTCCTAAAGACAGCCCATCCTTTAGAACAGAGCTCATTGTTTGGAAGTTTCTCCTCATACTGAGCTTTGCAGCTTTGGGAAGAGATGGAGTATCCCTCATCCCAGGGAGCTGGCAGTAAGGCCAGTGTTACCTCCAGTGAGTCCCCGGCTCGCCTCTTCAGTGCTCCCTTCTCATTCTTTTCCTTTGAAGGTTCATCAATCACCAGCTTCCCCTCCTCATCGCTGCTGCCATCTGTGTTCCCCTTCTTCTCCCCATCCCCCTCTGACACCTCTCGATCCGGCTCGGCATCTTCCGGACACCCTTTTTTCTGGGATGGCTGGTGGGGGGAAGCAACAAGAAGTAGATCCCAGGAAGTGGTTCAGGACCCCTTATTTATGCCTCTTTCCCTAGTCAACTGCTTCTTTTTCCCTTGAGTAACTCCTCCTCCTCTACCCTGTCCTCATTTAAAAAGGGGATCTTCATTCTAAGCCCCCCCCCAAAAAAAACATCGGTCAAGATGGTTTGATGGGGAGGTAGATACATGTAAAGTTGCATGTCCCTCTCTCTATATACAAACTTTCCTTTCCCCCCAATCCAGAGGATACCTCCCAGGAAGTCTCTTTGATGAGAGTTATTTCTTCAAATCTCTATTTTTATCTTAGACAGATTAATTAGATTCACTTCCAAAATCTCCATTAATTTCAACATTGTTACCTTTAATTTACTACTTATCACTCTACATGTTAAATCAGATAGACCCCCTCAGTAGAATGTAAGCCTATTATGGGAAGGGACTTAATACTACATCACAAGTAGGTGCTTAATTAATGCATGTTGATGCGAGTTTATCTTCATTAAATGTCTACTGTGACTAGAGCACAGAGAGAGATACAAAGTTTAGATAAGATCCCTGGGCTCTAGAACTCAAATTCTAGTAGGTGGTAAGCCCCAAGAACTAGGTGCTGTAACACAGAATATTACATGATAAAAGCACCAGATAAATGCCACCAAAAAAGTGCTCAGTGAAGTATGAGAGAAAAGGTTGTTGAGACCTAGAGAGGAACTAGGGGAAACTTCTTGGAAAGAGATAGCTTTTAAGCTGGGCTTTAAAGAAGGAAGTATACTTTTAGAAGGCAGAGGAGTGAGACATTCCAGGTTTAGGAATAGGTTAAACAAAAGCAGGGAAGCTCTGTGTGTCCACAGGAAAGGGAACAGTCTTTCTATATGACAACAGTATAGAAGGGATACAAGAGAAGAGTGTGAGATGAAGGAGAAAGGTATTCCCCCTTCCCCTTAACACCTGCCTCCTTCTGTCTGGAGTGGGTGGAGAATGGACAGTGGAGAATTCCTCCGGAATTGTCCATGTTAGGAGGTGACCTGGGGCAGCTATCTTATCATGAGTTGTTTTCTCCCATTAGATTGTGAGCTCCTTGAGGGCAGGGACTGTCCTTTGCCTTTCCTTGTATACTCAGTGCTTATAGATGGCATATAATAGATGCTTTAAAAATGTTTATGGATTATATAGAGATAGTAGATGGTCTCAAATGCCAGGGCAGACTTTGAACTTTAGTCTTCTGGCAAGAGGGGGCCAATGAAAGTTTGTCAATAAAAGTAACAAGATTAGATGTATGAACTAAAAAAAAAACCCAAAATATTTTTGGTAATAAGAAGGTCGTATTAGAGGGAAGAGTGGAGGAAGGTCTGTTAGGAGGCTAATATTGTCACTTAAGATGGATGATGATGAAGGCCTGGGGTAGCAGTAGGAATAAGCAGGAATGACCAGATGCCAGAGATATTTTATTGTGATTTCAGACTTGGTAACTGCCTGGATATAAAAGGGGAGGAAGCAGGAAGAGTCGAATATAAATTCTGTTTCATTTCCACCCTAACACCCTTCCTCACCAAGACAGAAATGTCCCTCTGCCCAATCCCAACTCCCCAGCTTCCTTCTCTCCCCACTTCCTGTTCTTCCTTTCCTTGGGCCTCAGACTTCTGGACTCCTTAGAGTTCTGATTCCATACTCTCATGGATGAAGCCCCAGTCCTGCCTGGGTGCTTCACCTTCCCTCATCTGAGCTTCTAAATAAACTGTTTCAATGTCATGTTCTTTCTTGTTATCCCCTCCTTCTAAACTCTTTTGCTAACACTCCCTCACCCAATACCACTGCCAGAAGTCCTCAAGTCTATCCCTAAAGTGTATATCAGTAGGGTTTTTTTTTTAGCAGCAACTTGAGAAAAGCGACTATTTCCTCTCCTTGGAGGTTCCTAGGTGTGTGGGAGTGGGGCTTACCTGGTAGCCAGAGGCCTTCACAGTAGGATTGTTTTCTATCTCCCATAGACCCTCACTGAAACCTTTCCTCTTGTTGGGTTTGCCAAACTTCTCCTTGGATTCCTCATATGGGAAGAGGTCTTTGGGACCCAAGAATGCTCTGAGAGACGAGGGAAATGGAAGGTCATTCTATTGGGATGATTCCATGCAGAAAGGAAAGCAGACCCCCCCCAACCTTTCTCCCTGCCCTCTCATCCTTCCGTCCTCTTTAACCACCCTAGAACCCTTTGTCTTTCCACCTCTCCAGTCCCTCCTTCCCCTCTCAACTCCCCCTCTTTTCCCCTCCCCCCCAAATCTCACTCACGTCTCATGAGTCCCGAAAAAAAAAACTTGGTACTTGTTGGCTGTTGACTTCACTGCAGCTTCCGGCATTTCATCAATCTAGGTAGAAGTGGGGCATGGGGTGGGGAGAATAGAAGAAGGGAACATGAACCTGATGGCTCAGCCTCTCATCTAAGTCTCAGGGACATCTGCTTGAGGGAGAGGAGGTCACTTCTGAGGGAATTATAAGACATCATTTGGACTGTGGAAGAGCCTTAGATTGAGATCATCTTGACTAAACCCCTGATTTTATAAATGAAGACATTGAGGCTGGAGATCACACAACTAATATATGGTGGTGGTGCTGAGACCAAAACCCAGATCCACCTAACTTCCAAATTAGGCCCCCTTCCATCTCCTTGGGGCAGTGGAAACAACCATCTGTGCCAGGACCCTCTGGAAAGAACAAAGCTTAACCATAGCCATGGAAATAATATCTCTTTCCCCTCCCCACTCTCAACCTCCAAGGTCTGGAAGGTTGTTATTAAAAGGTGTGAGACGATTAGTATGTGGACAAACAGGAGAGGAGAAAGGAGAGGGCTCTGGAGGGGTGGGAAGAGCTGGATGCCCCATAGCAGAGGGGGCATGAAGCCCTGCAGGGCTCCCAGGATTCGGGGCTAGGCCACCAAGTACAGACTACAAAGCCCGGGAAACTACACCTCCCAGCAGCCCCTGCAGCACCACGAGCAGCTTGGCTTCCCGCCGGACAGAGGCTGGGTAGCCATGTTGGTTGAGGACCCAGAGGTTGATTCAGGGTGGGGGAGACAGGACTGATAGCTGACCTAGGATGTAATTAACCCAGACAAGACAGACAGACAGACAGATAGACAAAGGCAGCAAAAAGAAATAAGATATAGGGCAGGAAAAAAACCTACAAAGAATCTCACGAGAGATGGGAGACATCCCTCAGAAAGACAGAGCACCCCTCCAAAAAAAAACAGAGTAATCTAAACTCAAAAGAAAGAGGTTTTGGTTTTCTTTGGTGTGTTTTTTTTTAATTTGAGCTCAGTTTTATCCCCACCCCCACCCTAGCTTCCTTAAACCACAACCTCCCCCCCATGTGTCTCATCCAGAGCTCCTCCCCAGGGCAGAAGTCCTGATCCCCAGCTACCTCCTCCCCCAGGGGCAAAGAAGCAGCCCAGCCCCGAACCCAGAGAACGTGGTCTTCCCCACAAGCACGTGTGCTCAGGGTGGGGGTGGGGTTGGGGGGGAAGGAAAGGCAGGTTCTCCCCTCCCCAACACACAATCCCTGTCGCCATGACAACCCGGCCCCGCCCCGCCCCCGGGCCACTCAGCAACCAGGAATGTGGCCACCCCTCCCCCACCGGCCCTTCAGGATAAGCGGGGGGAGGGGATACTGGGCCACTTACACAAAACTCTCGCCCCGCTCCCCCCGTCTCAGGCCTGGAGTCGGACACCTGAGTCCTCTCCGTTAAACCACAGCCGGGAGACTGGAGCACCAAAGTTCCAACATGGAGAACAGCACGAGAGCCCAATGCCTGGAACCCTCAGACCTGGCCAGGGGCGGGAGGGAGAGTTCCCCTGCCAGACACCTGGACCCTATTACCAGCAGCCTTCCCACTCCGCCTCCCGAAACTCCCTGAGGGGCCAACAAGAAGCAAAATCCGAAACACCAGTGCTTAGAGATCCCAAGAGGGAGACAAATGATAATAATAGCAAAAGCCCCGGGTCCCTGCCCTTGCTTCTTGGTACAGCTTCAGGAACTATATAGGGCTGGGGGTGGGGGTGAAGATTAAGGTCCAAGGGACCAGAAAGGCAGGACTCACTGAGGCCAAGAGAAAGGAATCGAGGAATATGGGTAGTCTTCCAAGGACGAAGGCACCCACTGGGCCGCCTATCACTCCTACGATGTGACTCCAGCCATTTATGGGTCAGAGCCAGGGAAAGGCCTGAGACTTCCATTACACCAGATTCCAGAGATCTCAAACAACTTACACCTCCCTCGTAAGTCTCCACCGGAGCCCACGCACAAGCACACACCCCCACCGGAAAACTGGCTTAGATAGGGTCAGACGCTCCCCTCCCCAAAGCCACACCACATGGCAAAGAATCCAGGCATTCAGTTGCCCAGGCTTGGGGGTGGGGGAAGAGGGAAAACAAAGAATGGTCATTAAAAATAGAAAGGATTCAAGACACTAAACTTAATCCCAAATTCCATCCAAAGAGAGGGTAAGGGAGCACACAAGGCCTTCCTAATCTGTCTAGGCATGATTAAGACACCCACAGCCAAAGGGACCATTCTGTCCTCCTCACCTGCCCCCCATAGAGAATGGGCTTTCTTCGTGTATGTGAGTTGGGATGGAGGAGGATCCTTTTTCCCATTTCTGGATCTCCCAAGAGATTGGCATATCAATTTCACACCATGATCCTTGGGGGTCAATAAACATTTTACTAAAGGCTTGCTACATTCTAGTCACTGTGCTAAGTAGTAGGGATTCAAAGAAAGGAAAGAGAACAAGATATAGGATCCCAAAGAACTGATCTTGTAGCTTGGTTCTGCCACTAACTGTGTGACTTTGAGAAAGTTGTTTAACCTCTCTGTTGTGTTCAGTTTTCTCATCTGTAAAATGAGAGAGTCCATCTTTAAGGTCCCTTTCTGCCTCTAAATCCCTAGGATCCTACAAGTCTTCCTTGCCACTCAAAAGAGGGAAAAGTCCTCTCTGCTGTCTGATCTCTGTTCTTCATGCTGCAAAATATTTCCTCTCATTCAGAATCAAGGGTGCTCTTCCAATGAGCAGGAGCTCTGGGGTCCAGGGTCTCCCTCCCCTAAAATACACACATATGCTTGTGAACATGCGCATGCAGGCACACACATATATTCTTCCTCCCAAAGGACCTGAATCCCAAGCACTGACTTCAACCCCAGGGGGTGACTCAGAGTAGATGAGTCAGAGCTAAATGGGTCAGGGTGGAGCCCAAGCAAATAGCAAGGGACCCTGTCTCCTGCCCCCCATATTCTCCTAGCTGCCTCCAACACCCCCTGCCCCAAAACACACACATACTGGGGTTGTGCCACTGAGGTAAGAGGCCACTGAGCTATTTATAGTTGGCCATATCAGGTACTTACTTAAGATATTCCCAAGTCCTGTTTGAATTCAAGGTTGGTATAATAAGACACAGGGTTCAGAGAATCCTGGTTCTTCCACTTTCTCTCCCTACCCTCTCTGGGCCTGTTTCTTCATATGTACAATGATTACAATATACTAGATGTTTTTTAGAGACTTCCAACGGTGATATTCTGTGATTTTTATGAAATTCTATTCATGCCTTATTTATTTGGCTCCCAGGTCAGGGAGGCTTCCAAGATGAATTTATAAGTGCTTAGAAATTTTCAATGGTTTGGAGGGCTAGGCATGAAAGGACCTCCAAATAACTCTTCCCTGGCCTGGAGACCACCTTGAGCCTACACAATCTCCCCTGGGGAATCTCTAAAACCTTAAAACCAACCATGCCCCTGACAGGGCCTAGAGAGGGACAAGGCTGAGCCAGAGACACAGAGCCCAAATAGGCACTGGCTTACTGCCAGTCTGACACACCCAATAGCCTAGGTTCAATTTGACCCAGGAACCGGAAAATCTGGGGCAGGAGACAGTTGGAACTAGAGGAGAAGGTGGGGAATGAGCCAGGGAAGACAAAGGGGGACCATGAATGTATATATGGGAGGGTGGGCAAGAACTGGGAAGGGAACAGAGAAAAGATGTTATGTCTGGGTGTGTGATCACACCAAGAATTCAGGTTTCACATACAAACACCCCACTCACTGAGTTTCCATGCTGGAGAGTGTGAGTATAAAGGGAAAGAGAAGGGCAGCTACTAAGTGCTTGGAGATCCCACAGGAAGTTAATGATGATAATGATTATCAGCTAGTAAACAGTGCTAATCTTCTCTAAGTAGTATAGTTAACCACTCACCCACTATCATTTCTTTCTCTGGGGATCTTTATGTTCTTCAGTCATTTCAGTCGAGTCTGACACTTTGCGATCCCATTTGGGGTTTTCTTGGCAAAGATACCAGAGTGGTTTGAGGCAAAGAGGGTTAAGTGGCTTTCCCAGGGTCACATAGCTAGTAAGATCTCTGTGGAGATCTCCACAGGCAAGAGAAGACCCAAGATCTGGAACCATCTGGATCCTGTCCTTTCTTACTACACCTGGAGCTATTCTGAAGCAAAGCATGCTTTGCCCCAGATTGAGAAAATTGTACTCCCTTTCTTATAACTAAGTTGATTCCAGGCAACCCCAGTGAAGGTGTTTTAAATAAAGAAGGCACTTTGGCTCTGCACTCTCACTTCTCATCTGCCAAATGAGGGGTTAGAGTCAATTAGATCTCTGAGGTACCTTCAGCTCTTCTTATTAGCAGTAATAACACCACCAACAACCGTGCTTGAAGGTTTGCAAAGTACTTTCCCTACAATTATCCTGTGAGGTAAATGATATATTATCTCCATTTTAGGGATAGGGATTAGACCTATGATTTTATTGGAATAGGGAATTCCCTCTTGGATGAGGAAAATCCTTCTACCAATGTAAGTCAGTCAATCAATCAACATTTATTAAGCAACTATGGTGTGTCAGGCATTGTGCTGGGCACTGGGGATACAAAAAGAGGCAAAAGACAGTTTCAGCACAAAGGAGAGGCTGACTTGTCCAGGGTCACACAGCCAGTATGTGTTAGAGGCAGTACTTGATTCCAGGTTTTCCTGATCCAAAGCAATCTCTCCTCCATCTGTTATACCCTGGTGCCTTGTCTCATTTTATGGATAAGGAAACTGAGACAAGGAGAAGTAAAAAGACTGATCATAGAGCTATGGTGTATCAGACCTAGGAGCCAATCCCAGGTGTCCTGAGTCCAGCTTCTATATTATGAGTCTAAAAGTCTATGACTCTATGATGTCCCTGGGGTAATGAAGTATTCCTGTAGGAAAAGGCAAAGGGATCAGGAGATTTAGTCCCAGTTTTGCTACTGACTTGCTGTGTGAGCTGGCACAAGTCACTTCATTTCTTTGGGATGTTTCTGTATCTGTCAAATGACAGGATTGGATT